ACCGTGAGCTGCACGAGGATCTGCTGGAGGACCTCGTCGATGACCTGTCACAGCTCCTCTTGGATCTCACGGACGTCTCTCTCTTCTTCGGAGAGCTGAGGGTCAAGTCATCCATGAAACCCGTCATGTCTTCTGTTTTCTGCACGCAGGTGCTTTCAGAAGCTGGTTCTGTTTTTACTGCTGTTCTGCAATGCCCAGTCTCTGTTCCTGTTATTGGGTGGGGTGGAGGAAGTTAATTATTCATGGGCATCAAGGCATTTACACAGCAACGACAAACACGGTGACACACAGGCAAAAAGTTCAAGGATAATTAAACACACTAACAGTCCTCAGCCAGTTTACCAGCATGTTTTGCACATGACAGTCTTGTTTTATAATTTCCTCACCTGTAGTCAGTCAAAAGACTGAAATATGAAATTATAAGGAAAAAAAGGCTTTAATTTAAATCATGAGTAGCTCTGGGTGGAATTTTGGAGAGAGGTAGGTTTGTGCAGGTTTTAAGTGTAATTCCTTTTGTGTAAATGGTACAAGTTAACACCCTTTTGCTCCAAACAGAATTTTCAAGGTATTTTATTTTAACTCTAAAGGCAGGTTATTGCACCTATGATGCAAAATAACCATTTACCTTCCAGATCAGTACAGACTGATTTACTCCAAGAGGAGGCAAAATAAAAGTACCTTCAAGGTACAAAGCAGCCACTTCAAGATCTTGACCATATCATCTTATAAAAAACTCCATGCACAGAGCTCCACCCATTCCAGCAGTGTACACAGCAAGCTGCTATTAAAAATGTTCTACACAGACAGTAAAAAAATACAGGTGGTGACTCACCAGACACGACTTGTACAGAACACTTGTTATGGTTATATATTAATAATTAAAATGGCTGTCCCTCTAGCGGCAGCCATTTTATAGCTACAAAGGTTACACGAGTGTAAGGATCTTATCACAGGACTTAAGCCCCGAGTTACGTAACCACTGTACAGCTTGAGGAAGCTTGCTTTAACCCAAAAATTCCTAGTCGTTGCTCAATGCAAAGTTAGCAAATAAATATAAAACCGTTACTGGAATCTGTAATTTAAGCTCTGTAAGGGCTTGCCAGACGCCACTTCCCTCGGTACTACTACAGCTAAAGTTTCACTACTTCACCTCTACGCCAGGGCCAAGGTCACTCGCGCTGTACGTGGCACAGCAAGATAAATTCCGATGTGCAGTTTCCCAGCGTTAATCCCCCTCCCCAGCCTGTTACAACCCAGTTCATCTCGGACTCATCAGGGGTACCGCACACTCCCCCCAGTCCCACCCTGAGCGCTCAGGGCTCTGCCCGGGCTCTGTCCCCAGCACTCACCGCTGGGCGCGGCCGGGCCCCCCTGGTGCTGGTTCTCGTGAGGCACCTGGGCGCTCCTGCAAGGAAGAAAATAAAAAAAAACCACCCGTGAGCGATGCGTGTCCCTCACACCCCTCACGAACGGTCGCAAACGGCGACCGCGAACGGCCTCTCCCGACCCCGGCCCCCCAACGCCCCGCTCCGCCGCCTCACCGGCTCCAGCCGCCCGGGCTGCCCCCGCACGGGTCCTGAGGGGAGAGCCCCGCTTCGTGAGTCACCCCCATAGCGCCGGGCCACGCTGCTCCACCCGCGAAAGAGTCGCGATACGGCCGCGACAGAGCCCCGAGACAAAAGCTCCGCTCGCTCCCGCCGCCCGGCAGCGACTGAGGGCCGGCCCAGAACCTTCCAGAACGTCCCTCGCCTTACGTAACCCCCGCGCCGAGGGC